GACCACCCCCCTTTCCCAACCCTCCAGTGCCCAAAGACCCCCATGGGACTGTCCATCCCTCCAGACCACCCCCCTTTTCCACCCCTCTCCCTGTTCCTCCCACTTTTCCATGGTCCCCTCAAGCCCCAGCCACACCAAGATTGGTTTTGAGGTCCCAACCCCCACTTTTTCCCCCTCTCCCACCCTTTACCCATCATCCCCCAATCCCCAGCCCCCTCATGCTCAGTTTGGGGGTCCCACCCTCCCCTTTTCCCCACTCTTCTGACCTCTCCCTCCTCTTTCCCATCATCCCCCAATCCTCAGTGTCCCTCCCCCTTCATTTTTGGGGGGTCCCACTCTCCTCCCACTCAGTTTGAAGTCCCACCACCCCTTTTATCCCCTCTGACTCACCGACCCCCCCCTTCCCAACACCCCCTCTCACCCGAGATCTCCTCGTCTGCAAGGGGGGGGCTCCCAGTAACACCAGAGCCCATAAATGTCCCCTCCAAAAAAGAGTTAGGTGGAATTCTGGATGGACTCTGAGTGGGTTTGGAGGTTCCTTGGGGGCTGTGGGGTGGTTTAAGGGGGTCCCAGCACACTTTGGGATGCGTTGGATGCCGTGTTGGGGTGCAGATGTCCCCCCAAAGCTCCCCCAGAACAGGGTGACACAAGGGGGGGGCACAGAGGGGTCCCCATTCCTGATCCATCCTGGAGCAACCATACTGGGGGGCAACTGGGATCAGAGTGGGAGCAGCTGGGCCCCTGCTGGGCTCATCCTGGGACCATCCTGGGAGTGACTGCAGTAATACTGGGAGTATGTGAGAGGGACTGCAACCATACTGGGGATGACTGGGATCAAACTGGATTTGTACTGCAAGTGTCTTCAAGTTCCTGGGATCATACCGGGGGTGACTGGACTCATAGTGGGATCATACTGGGAGTGACTGGACTAACAGTGGGATCATCCTGGGAGCAACTGGGACCATGCAGGGGGCAAATGGCATCATCCAGGCAGTGACTGAAAGTGCCTGGGGCCAGACTGGACTCAGACTGGGAGTCCCTGAGAGGGAAAGGAACCATCGTGGGGGGGAAAATGGGAGCAACTGGGACCACCTTGGGGGCAACTGGGATCCAATTGGGAGTGACTGGGAGTGACTGGGATGATAGTGGGAGTGACCAGGACCATACTGGAACCATCCTGGGAGTGACTGTCAGTGCCCAGGATCATACTGGGAGCAACTGGGTCATGGTTGCGGCACAAAGGACAGAGGGAGGGGAGGGGAACAGATAGAGGAGGGAAAGGGAGAGGAGGGGGAATTTTAGAAAGGATAAACAGGAAAGAAAGACAAAAAAATAGAAAAATAAGAGAAAAAGGCAAGTTTAAACATTCAGTAAATGTGTGAGTCACTGGGAGCTCCCAGGTCAAAGGCAGGTGAAGTGTTTGCAGGGGACAGGAGCCTGTTCAGGGCTCAGGAGCTGCTGCTGCCCAAAGGGAGGAAACGCCCCGAGGGCTCGGAGCAGAGTTTGTGCTTTGGGGCCTTTGCCAAGAACCCGCAGGAGGGAAAGCAGTTCCAGCCAGGGGGGCCCAGGGGCTCCCAGCACGGGCCCAGGGGCTCCCAGTCACCCCCAGGATGGGCCCAGTCACCCCCAGGATGGGCCCAGTCACCCCCAGGATAATCTCAGTCACTTTTAGTCACGCCCAGTCTGATCCCAGCATGATCCCAGTCACTCCCAGTCTGATTCCATTCTCTCCTAGTAGGATCCAAGTTACCCCCTGCGAGGTCCCAGTTGCTCCCAGTCAGTCCCAGTATAATCCCAGTCAGTCCTGGTGTCTCCCACTATATCCCAGTTGCCCCCAGTGTGGTCCCACTCACTCCCAGTTGTTCCCGGTACCTTCCAGCATGATTCCAGTTGCTCACAGCCACTCCCAGTCACTCCCAGTGTGCTCCCAGTCGCTCCCACTATGATCCCAGTTGCCTACAGCATACTTCCTACCAGTATATCCCAGTTGCACCAGCATGGTCCCAACTGCCCTCAGAATGCTCCCAGTCACTCCTAGTACGACCCCAGTGACCTTCACTGTGGGCCCAGTTAGAATCATAGAATCGATTGGGTTGGAGAAGACCTCCGAGATCATCCAGTCCAACCCTTGGTCCAAATCCAGTCCATTTACTAGATCATGGCACTCAGTGCCACGTCCAATCTGCGTTTAAAAATCTCCAGGGATGGTGAATCCACCACCTCTCTGGGCAACCCATTCCAATGCCTGATTACTCTCTCTGTAAAGAATTTTCTCCTGATATCCAACTTAAATTTCCCCTGGCGGAGCTTAAGCCCGTGCCCCCTTGTCCGATTGCTGAGTGCCTGAGAGAAGAGACCAACCCCCACCTGGCTAGAACTTCCCTTCAGGTAGTTATAGACGGTGATGAGGTCACCTCTGAGCCTCCTCTTCTCCCGGCTAAACAACCCCAGCTCACTCAGCCTCTCCCCATAGGACTTATGCTCCAGTCCCTTCACCAGCCTTGTTGCTCTTCTCTGGACCCGCTCCAGCACCTCAATATCCTTTCTGAACTGAGGGGCCCAGAACTGAACACAATACTCAAGGTGTGGCCTCACCAACGCAGAGTACAGGGGAAGGATCGCTTCCCTGCTCCTGCTGGCCACGCTATTTTTGATACAGGACAAGATCCCATTGGCCTTCTTGGCCACCTGGGCACACTGTTGGCTCATGTTGAGCTTCCTGTCAATTAGTACCCCCAGGTCCCTTTCTGCCTGGCTGCTTTCCAGCCACTCTGTGCCCAGCCTGTAGCGCTGCAGGGGGTTGTTGTGGCCAAAGTGCAGGACCCGGCACTTGGCTTTATTGAACTTCATCCCATTGGAATCAGCCCATCTCTCAAGTCTATCCAGATCCCTCTGCAGAGCCCTCCTGCCTTCCAGCAGGTCGACACTCCCTCCCAATTTGGTGTCATCAGCAAATTTGCTGATGATGGACTCCGTAAAAAAAAAAAAGGTAACCTCCACAGAGGTTGTTTAGTTCTCCTTCTCCTGCACAGTCTTTGTTCCCCTCAGCCTGCCCGTGCGACGGGCAGCGATGAGACCGACCTTGCGCCCGGCGGGAGCGTCTCTCCGGATGTTCGAGGGCTTCCCGATGTGCTGGTGGTTACCCCCTCCGAAGGGATGTTCTACAGGGTTCATGGCCACACCACGGACACGTGGCCAGCAGTTCCTCTTGGTCTTGTACTTGTGGTAGGCCCTACCAGCCTTCAGAATGGGCTTGTCAATACGGCCTCCGCCAGCAACGATTCCAGCAACAACTCTGTTTGCAGAAGAAATCACTTTCTTGGAGCCAGAGGGCAGCTTCACTCTGGTTTTCTTCCTTTCAGGGTTGTGAGAGATGACTGTGGCGTAGTTCCCAGAGGCACGTGCCAGCTTCCCACAGTCACCAGGCTTCTCCTCCAGGCAGCACACGATGGTGCCCTCCGGCATGGTGCCCACAGGCAGGACATTACCGATGTTCAGCTGAGCTTTCTTGCCACAGTACACGAACTGGCCGGTGTGGATGCCCTCGGCGGCAATGAACAGCTCCGTGCGCTCTTTAACCGGTACGGATCACGGAACGCGATCTTGGCCAGGGGAGCGCCCCGGCCTGGGTCCTGGATGATGTCCTTGACGATGTCCTTGATGTATCCGTGCTGCTCGGCGAAGTCCACGGCGCGGAGCTTGGCCGGGCCCTTCCTGTGCTTCACGTGTGCGCGGAACACGGAGCCCGCGCCTTTCCTCTGCCCGCGGATGACGCGTCCCATGGCGCCCTCGGGGACACACTGGAACAGCCCCGTCAGCGACAGCCGGTCCCTGTTGCCCTCCCCGTGCCCGTCGCGCAGCCCCCGTGCCGGCCGGGCGCTAGGGGGGACCGATGGAAACGGATCGGGATCGGGATCACGGTCGGTTCCCATCCCTGTCCCCATTCCCACTTCCTGCTGTGCCAACCTGCTCCCAGTGTCCCCGTTCCTGTCCCCACTATCCCTATCCTGGTCTCCCATGTCCCCATTCCCATTCCCGGTGTCCCAATTCCCATTCCTGGTGACTCCAACCTGCTCCCAATGTCCCCATTCCCATTCCTGGAGTTCCCATTCCCATTCCTGCTGTCCCCAACCTGCTCCCAGTGTCCCCATCCCTGTCCCCAATGTCCCCATCCCAGTCCCCCCTGTCCCCATTCCTATTCCTGGTTCCCACAGAGGAACTGCCGGATGCCGGAGGAGGGAGCCAGGATTTATTGCCCAAAGCAGGAGATTTTCACACCCAAATTAAAGCCTCAGGAATAATTGTGGTCCTGGGTTTCACACGGGAAAAAGCAGGAAGTTGATCCATCAGGAAGAGCCGCAGGGGGGCCGGGGTGGGTGGGAGCAGCGGGATGAGCTCTGCCAGCAGCTCCTGCCTTTCCGCAGGGAGAGGGAAGGGGCGGATCCAGCTCCGGGATCACTCAGGCTGTGATTCCTGCTGGGATGAGAGCGGGGAAAGGAGTCACCATGTCCCTGTTCCCATCCCAGGGGATGGATTTGGCTGTGGAGCCCAGGGAGAGTAGGAACTGCTCCGGAATCCCACCTGATCCTGCTCTGTCCATCCCACCCCAATCCCACTCCATCCATCCCACGCCAATCCCACTCCAGAATCCAGCCCTGATCCCAGTCCACAATTCCACCTGAGCCCACTCTGGAATCCTGCCCTGAGCTGGAATCCCCTTCCAATCCCCCTCCAACCATTAGGCCCCCATTCCCCTCTGGAATCCCGGCATCCATCCTGGGATCCACACGCTGCTGGGACTCACTGGTGGGCGCAGGGTCGTATCCATTCCCCTCCCTCATCCCTATGGAAAGAAAGCGGGATCAGCACCCGTGGCACAGGATCCCCGGAATGCTGCCGGGCGGATCCGTGCCCCTTCCCGACCCCCATCCCGGGAGTTACCGGATCGGAGCTTCCAGACACCGACTCCCAGGAGGCCGATGATGATGATGATGGCAGCGATGACGGACACAGTGTCCTAGTTAGAACAGCTGGGACCGATTCCTCACTGGATGGGTGTAGCCCAAAAGTGTGGATTCTCTGGCCTTTCATGCCATTTTCCCAGGAACTGTTGTCAGGAGAGGCCTGCGAGGTGGGGGGGATGTCCTGAGCACCCTCATACCCTTTTATGGACTGAGCATCCTCATAGCCTTTTATGGAATTGCCCACTCTGAGGGAACGAACTGACCATCCTTTTATGGAATTGCCCGCTGTGAGGGGAGGACTGGGCATTCCTGCCTGAACTGGAGAATATATAAACCTGGAGTTTCAGAACCTTTTTAGCACTCGTGGGATCCAGAGGAGGACTGCAGCTCACCGCTCTCAACCAGCCTGAGACCACCAACCTCAACTGGACTGCAATCACCACTTTTGACCAGACTGCAACAGTTCTCCCACCAGTAGGTTTTTTTTCCCCTCTCCCTTTCCTTTGGACTTTGGGGGGGCCCAAGGAACAGCACTTTGTTCATGGCCCAGAGTGCTGGGTTCTACATTTGGGTTTTGTGGATTAAAACCAATTGCTTGTTTCTATAATCAGACTTATTGGGCAAGGGGGGCCCAAGGGAGGCCCAAGGGGGGCCCAAGGGGGCTGGGCCAGGGGGGGAAGGGCTGCAGGGGGCGGATCCCGGAGGAGGAAACCCGCCAAAAGCGGCGGCCCAGCCGAGGGAGGAGCCGAGCGGGAGCACAAAGAAGAGCAGCCCAAAGGTCCTGGCGGTGGCTCGGCAATGGCGGGGGGGGCGAGAGCGGTTTGGGGGCCCCCCGTGAGAGCCGGGGGGGAACCCCGGTAGCCGCGGAGTGGGGAGAGCGGAGAGGGGCGATCCCGGAGCTGGGGGACCCCCGGAATGCTGGAGGGGGGGGAGCAGAGAGGGAGCGCCGGGCCCCTTAAGCGGGGGTCCCGGAGAGGGGGAAGGCCTTGGAGTGTGGAGAGGAGGGGGGGCCTTGAGGCGGGGTGGGAGCCGAGAGCGCCAAGAGGTTTGCGAGGGTGGGAGGCGAGAGAGGAGGGCCGGCCGGCCCCGGGAGGCAGAGTGGGGAGAAGTGAGCCCTGGGACCCCCCTGGCAACACTCAAGGGGACCCCGGCGAGAGGGAACCCCCCGGAGCCGCGGGACCCCCGGCAGCCTGGAGAAGGGGGACCCCCAATGCAGCCAGAAGTGCCATCAGGCCAGACAGGGGGGACCCCCCTAACCCCAGAGAGCAGAGAGGGGGAACTCCTGGGAGGGGATTTTGGGCTGAATGTTGGTGTTCTGGGGGTTTTTATGGACACAACTTGCCCAATGAGTGCTAGAGCTGGATGTGGGCAGGAGGAACCCCCAAGGCAAGGCACTCACCTCTTGTTTTCCCCCCCCAGCAGGATTTCTGCTTCCCAAAGCTAGGGCGGATGGAGGAGGAGGCTGCAAGGAAGAGGAAGATGCCGTGGGCCCCCCAGGCAGGTGAGGAGGAAGTCAGTGCCCCTTTGGGTCGGTCTTTTGTCTTTTGTGGCCGTCCTGCCGGGGCCGGAGTTGGGGGGATGTCCTTGGGCTTCCCTGTGGTCCGGAGGCAAATCCCCTGCGTGTCCTTGTTGCTTCCTGCCCCAGGCCCCGAGGTGAGGCCGGAGAGCGCGGAGGACAAATCCCGGCGGCAGAGCCTGGTGGGAGAGGCCGTTTTGAAGGGCTCCCCGGCGCAGGAAAGGCAGCGGGGAGGAAAAGGGCCGGAGATGCCCCCGCAGGAGGGGCTCCAAAGCCAGCCCAGGGGGCTGTGAGGAGGAAAGAGCCAGCGTGTGCCGGGAAGGCGGCCGGAGCTTGAGGCGGAGCTGCGAGCTGGTGGTCCCTGAGCAGCCTCCCAGCAGGGAAAAACCCTTCAGGTGCTTGGAATGTGGGAAGAACTTCAGCAAGAGATCCAACCTCCATAGGCACCAGCACATCCACACTGGGGAACGGCCCTACACGTGTGGGGAGTGTGGGAAAAACTTCAGTGACAGCTCCACCCTCCGCAACCACCGCCGCATCCACAGTGGGGAACAGCCCTACACGTGTGGGGAGTGTGGGAAGAGCTTCACTCAGAGCTCCCACCTGCTCCAACACCAGATGATCCACAGTGGGGAAAGGCCCTACATGTGTGAGGAATGTGGGAAGAGCTTTACTCAGATCTCCACCCTGCTCCGACACCAGATGATCCACAGTGGGGAAAGGCCCTACATGTGTGAGGAATGTGGGAAGAGCTTCACTCTCCTCTCCCACCTGCTACGACACCAGATGATCCACAGTGGGGAAAGGCCCTACATGTGTGAGGAATGTGGGAAGAGCTTCAATCAGAGCTCCAACCTGATCCGACACCAGATGATCCACAGTGGGGAAGGCCCTACACGTGTGTGGAGTGTGGGAAGAGCTTCAGGGACAGCTCCAGCCTTTGCAAACACTGTTGCATTCACACCAGGGAATGGCCCTACAAGTGCTTGGAATGTGGGAAGAGCTTCAGCACAAGCCCCAAGCTGCTCAGCCCCCAGCACATCCACACTGGGGAACAGCCCTACACGTGTAGGGAATGTGGGACAGCTCCACCCTCTACACCCACCGTCGCCTCCACATCAGGGAGAGGCCCTTCCACTGTGGGGAGTGTGGGAAGAGCTTCAGGCAGAGCTCTTCCTTGACCTCCCACCAACGGACCCACCAGTAATGGAAGCCCCGAGTGCCCCGACTGCGGGAAGAGCTTCGGCCGCTGCTCCAACTCCATCAGCCATGGGAGGACCCGCGTTGGATGATCCACAGGGACCCCCGCTGGGCACAGACCTGGTGTGCTGGTTTTAAGGTAAACCAGCAGGGGAAATGACAGTGGTGACATCACGGGGACATCGATGACATCACATGGACAGCGGTGACATCACAGGGACATTGGTGACATCACAGGGACAGCGGTGACATCACAGAGACATTGGTGAAATCACAGGGACTTTGGTGACATCACGGGGACAGCGGTGACATCACAGGCACAGTGGTGACATCACCGGGGGTTAATTTTGGTGTGAAAATCTCCTGCTTTGGGCAATAAATTCTGACTCTTCCTCCGGCATCCGGCAGTTCCTCCCTGGGAACCAGGAATGGCAATGGGGACAGGGGGAATGGGAATGGGGACCCCTGGAATGGGAATGGGAACACCTGGAATGGGAATGGGAACATTGGGAGCCGACTGGGAACAAGAGGAATGGGAATGGAGACATCAGGACCTGGGAATGGGGGCACCTGGATTGGGAATGGGGACACCGGGGAGAGGGATGGAGACACCAGGAACTGGGATGGGAACACCTGGAATGGGAAAGGGAATTCGTGGAATGGGAATTGGAACACGTGGAATGGGAACGGGAACATTGGGAGCAGACTGGGGACACCAGGAATTGGAATGGGGACACCTGGAATGGGAATAGGGAAAACAGAGGTGGGATAGGAACACCTGGAATGGGAATGGGGACAATAGGAATGGGAATGGAGACACCTGGAATGAGAATGGGGACAATAGGAATGGGAATGGAAACACCTGGAATGGGAATGGGACACGAAGAACTGGGAATGGGGAAAAAAGAAGTGGGATGGGAACACCAGGAATGGGAGGAGGGTCAATAGGAATGGGAATGGGGACACCTAAAATGGGATGGAACACCTGGAAAGGGAATTGGAACACGTGGAATGGGAATGGGAACACCTGGAATGGGAATGGGAACAACTAAAATGGGATGGGAACACCTGGAACAGGAATGCAAACCCATGGAATGGGAATGGGAACACCCAGGCCCGGGCTGTGTCCCTGGTGAAACAGGAGACCAGGCCCAAAAGAGTTCATGAAGAAATTTGGGCCTGCTAACAAGCTCCCAACATCCAAGACCATCTGTGCTCGTTCTGTTCTACTGACTGGAGCAAAGCTTCAGAGAATAGTACAGGAACATGTCCTAGGCCTAGAGGGGATAAATTAGAGAGACAGCAGGATCAGGGAGACATTGGAAGAGGAGGAATAGGCCGGGAGCCAGGGCTTTTTCCAAGCTTCAGGGAGCGGGTCAAGAACAATGGAAGAGAAGGAAGGTCAAGCTGAGGAAGATGAGTTGAAGCCCCCAGAGCCATGGAGGAAGAGTGGAAGTCCCCTCAGGATTGAGGGCCAAGAGAAGCACCGCCCCAAGCCCCGCCTGAGCTCCACCTCTACTCCGCCTGTTATTAATATGCAGAGAGAGATGTTGGAATCACTGGAATATGCATTTAATCCCAGCTGAAGATTGTATAAAAATGCTGATTTTGTGTGAAGCCTTGGAGCAAGTTTGTCCAGCGCGAGCTGGCTTGCTCCCAACGTTGAATAAACAAATACCTGGCTGCTTCAAGAGAAAAAAGTCTCTGAGCAGTTTCTCGGACCGATTTTTCGGATTCAGCGCCCAGTCAGTCCCAGGACAATCCCAGTCACTCCTGGTCTGTCCCAGTTGCTCCCAGTTTCCTCCATGTGGTCCCACTCATTCCCAGTTGCCCCCAGAAGCTTCCAGCAGGATCCCAGTTGCTCACAGCCACTTCCAGTCATCCCCAGTGCACTCCCAGTTGCTCCCAGGATGATCCCAATCCCCTCCTGCATGATCCCACTCACTCCTGGTATGATCCCAGTATGACACCAGTCACCCTCAGTGTGGTCTCAGTTGCTCCCAGCATGGGCCAAACTTCTCCCACTGTGAACCCAGTATGATCCCTGTTGTCCCCATCATGGTCCCAGTTGCTCCCAGTTGCCCTTAGCACAGATCCAGTCACTCCAAGTATGATCCCAGTCTTCCTTCCTGACAGTTCCAGTCAATCCCAGTTGCTTCTCTTGTAGATCCAGTCACTCACAGTTCCTTCCAGTTGCCCCCAGCCTGGTCCTAATTCCCCTTCACGTAGTCCCAGTCACTCCCAGTATGGCCCCAGTCTCCCTCACCATGGTTGCAGACACTCCCAGTATATCCCAGTAGAGCCCTCAGCATGCTCGTAGTCCTTCCCAGTCACTCCCAGATGCCCCAGTAACATTCCCGTTTCCACCAGTATGATCCCAGTGACTCCAAGGCCCTCCCACTATATCCTATGTGGCCTCCAGTTGCTCCCAGTAGGCCTCAGTGTGGTCCCAGTTGCTCCCTGTATGATCCCTGTTGCCCCAGTTCTGGTCCTGGAAGGTCCCAGTGTGCTCAGATCCTGCTCCCGGCAGGTCCTGCTGGGTCCCAGTCCTGGTGCCGGTGTATCCTGGTGTCCCGGTCCATCCCAGTCTGTTCCAGTCCATCCCAGTCCATCCCAGTCCCTTCCCAGCAGCCGCCGCCGTTTCCCGGGTCCTGCCCCCCCGCCCCCCCAAGATGCTGACGGGGGTCGGGGCTCCGTCTTTGCCTTCGTCTCCCTGGGCCTGCCTGGAATGAAGGGGCCGCTGGGACACTGCGGGACCTCCTGAAACCAAAGGAACCCGGGGAGAATTTGGGTACTCCTGGAATCAAGGCACAATTGGGACACTGCAGGGCCCCATGGAAAAAAAGGAACCTTGTGACACTGCGGAATTCATGGAATCCAGGGGCCGTTGTGACAGGGGGGCCTCATGGAACCAAAGGAAGCCTGAGGTGTTTCAGAAGGTCATGGAATCAAGGGGCCACTGGGACACTGCAGGGCCTCTGGCAATTAAAGGAACACCGGGACACTGGGGCAGGACATCCCCCCTGCAATGGCCCCAAGACAATGCCCCATTTGCAAAGGGGTCAGTGCTGAGCTGAGAGGGGGCCGGGACAAGGCAGGAGATGTTGGACCCCAGACTGGTTTGACCCCAAATGAAGCCCCTGATGGTGAGGGAAGCCCTGGAGTCCAAGGACTGTCAGTCCATGGGTTTCTACCAGAAAGGACCAGTCCCCTTTGCCAGGGGCAGGTTCTTCCAACAGAACCCTTCTTGGGGGGTGTGTGGAGATTCCTGCCTTGGCTGGGGACCCCAGCTTCCTTCCCAGTCCACACCAGTCATTCCCAGTCAATCCCAGTCATTCCCAGTCCCTCTACCTCCACTCCCAGACCCTCTCCGTCCATTCCCAGTCGTTCTCACTTCACTCCCACATCTCCCAACTCTCTCCCCAGTGACCCCCTAGCCCATCCCCTTCTACCCCACTCTATTCCCAGTCCCTCCCACTGCCATCCCAGTCCCTCCCCGTGCCCCCCAGCGTGTCCATCTCGCTGGTGCCGTCGAGCTCCCAGCCCGGCCCCGGCCGCCTGCTCTGCTCCGGGATGGATTTCTACCCTGCGCCGGTGCAGGTGAGGTGGTTCCAGGATGGGCAGGAGCTGCCGGAGCACGTGGTGGCCACCGACGTGGTCCCCAACGGGGACTGGAGCTACCAGGTGCTGGTGCTGCTGGAAATCCCCCCCCGGCGCGGGGTCACCTACAGCTGCCAGGTGGAGCACGTCAGCCTGGAGCACCCCCTCAGCCGGCACTGGGGTACGGCCCGGCCCCCCCAGCCCCGGGGGGGCGACTGGGGGCGACTGGGAGGGAGTTTGGGGGGTGCCTGGGGTGCTGGGAGGGGGGTGGGAGGGTCCTAAAGGGTCTGGGATGGGCTTGGTGGAATCCGTACAGGGGCTGAAGAGGGACTGGTAGAAGGCTTCAGGGACCCCCGGGTGGGCTGGGGGAGAGCGGGCTGGGCTCTGTGGGGTGCCGGGGGGTGCGTGGGAGGAGGTTTTGGGGGTGCTGACCCCCCCGGCTCCCCCCAGAGATGCCACTGGACACCGTCCGCAGCAAGATCCTGGTGGGGGTCGAGGGCTTCGTCTTGGGCTTGGTCTTCCTGGCGCTGGGGCTCAGCTTCTACCTGCAGGAGAAGGTAAAGGGGGGTCCCAAAATGGGGGTCGTGTCCCCCCCCTTGCTCTCCCACAGCCTCTGTGCCCCCCCTGTCCCCCCACCCTGATCTCACCCCCTTTTCTCTCCCCACAGAGCTCCTGAGCCACCGGCGGCCGCAGCCCCTCCCCGTGGCCTCGGGCCCAGCCGGGACCCCCCAGTCCAGCTCCACGCTGAGTTTGGGGGGGTCGTGTGTCCCCCCTTTCCATGCTTTTATTCTGACCCCAGCTGGCTGCTCCCAGTGTTCCCAGGAAAGCTTCCCAGTTATGCCCAGTCCCTGTTATTGGGGGCAGTGAGGGCAGGGGGGAGGGGATCCCTGGCATAGCTTTACTTCTTCTAAAAAACCAAGCAGGAATTTTTCTTTCCCCTGCCCCTCTGGAAAAGAAAGATGTTCAATGGGGGAGGGGGCTTTGCCTTGGGTGACTCACACCCCCAAAAGAACTGGCCCAGCCCACATTGCAGGTTGGGAGCCCTCAGAAGGCTCTGGGGGGGTGGAGTTTTTTGCTTTCTCCTGGGCAAAGGGCAAGGCCCTTCCCTTTGGCCTTAACTCAGGCAAGGGGTGTGTTGGAGAGGCTCCGAGGTCCTTTTGTTCTCGGCCTGCTCATCTGGCTGTTTGCTGGTTCCCGTTTGCCTTCGTTTCCTGCGCCCTGTTCTGCCCCCAGCCCGGACCTGCTCGGACTTCATGGGAGAGGTTTGACCCCCCTAGAGAGGAACCTTTTGGGGAGGAGGTCGCCCTTTCCCTCCTCCGCTCCCGTGTTGGCCGTGGCGTGTGTTCATCGGCCAAAAGGGGGAATTCCCAGCCACAGCCAGCCCCAGACAGCGGGAGTTTCGTGGGAAGAGCCCCTTTGTCCCCTTTTCCACTTTTTCCCCTTTTTGTTGTTGTGCCAATACACAGATATCCTTTAAGAAAGAGCTGTTATTTTTCCTTTTTCCATACTGCCTCAACTGGAATCTCTTAATTTCCAATTTACAGTTGCTTAGAGGGAGGAGTTTGGTTTTCCTCATAACTCATCCCCCTCAGCAAAACACTTCAGTCTCACTCAACTGAGACAGAGGTGCTGCCCCATGCTCCTGCCCTTGCCAGGGCTGGGGGTCAGGCCTTGGCCCTCTGCAAGAACAAAACAAAGCCAGATTTATTCAGCATCACAGACCCTGGGACTTTGCTTGTCCCCACCTGTCATCACTGCCTCCAGTTTTCGGCTCTAACTGGAAGCAGGGGACAATTTCTGAGTGCTGGCCCTCAGTGGGACCCATTAACGCCAGGAGAAACTGTGGCCTTGGATCTGACTTGGAATTCTTCAGAGGTTTCTTTAACTTGCTCTTTGTCTGATGTTCAGGGACTCATCCCCAACCCCCAAGGGTCATTCAGTGCCTGGGGCTGTGTCTGTGCTGCTGAGCTGGGCCGGGCTCCTGGCACACAGGGAGCTCCTGGCAAGCGGGCAGCGCTGCAGAGAGACAGCTCTGCCCAGGAGCAGCTCCTCTGCACAGCCCAGCAGGGCTGAGGGCACTGCCAGGGCAGCTCAGGGACACCAGCAGGGCACAGACAGAGCTTCAAGGGGCTCAGGGTTGGGAGGGTGACTGAGAGCTCCCTGCCGAAGGAATCTTGGCAGGGCTGCACACGGGCAGTCTGGGGCTGCAGGGCAGTGCAGGGGCAGCTCCTGGAGGCATCTCCTAAAGCTGGCCCAGCCCCAGCCGATGGGATGGGTGAGGAGGGGGCTGTTGGGGGGCACTTTGGCAGAGCTGTGAAGCCGGGGGTGCAACCAGGGGTGCCCAGGGCTGTGGGGCAGAGCAGGGTCCTGCAGCCCAGGGTGCTGTGCTGGGCAGGGACTCTGCTGCCTGCCAGGGGCAGCTCTCAGCCAGCCCGGGGAGCTGCTCCAGGGCTGGGGAAGAGGGGCTGTGGGCAAGGAGCAAACCCCAATTGACAGGGGAAGGCAGGGCAGGGCCCTTCTGCTGTCGAGACGGTGCAACACATGTCAGGAATGATCACAGCTCCAAATGACTGCTGGGGGTTTCTAAGAGGAATTTTCAGGAAATGCAGCAAGGCAGGGTGTATCGAGGAGGGGTTACTGTATCAGGGAAGTCCGATATATACAGACATGAAAAACGGACACCGTTGCTAGCTCAACAAAAAAACCCCAATATTTATTACAAAAGATGGCCAAAAAAAAAAATGAACAAACCCAAAAGGAGGAAGGAGGAGAGAAATAAGCCCCCAGTTCCCAGCTGTTGCCCATAAAGTTCTCTTACCGACCTAGCAGGCCTATAATTACCCAGAGCAGAAGCTGCATCCTCGGAGAGTCAGTAAGTTCACAAACTGGCAGGTGTCCCTGCCAAAGGCAACGTTGTCCTTGGTGTGAAGTTAGCTCTTCCCAAGAAAACACTATTCTACTTTTATACAATTAACTGAGTGACCACAGCCTCCCAGGTGTGGCCAGCACTGCCCAGCCCGAGGCCCTCAGTCCCACCCCTCTATTCTAATATTTTGGGATCTGGACATGCCCAAACCCTTCTGTTTTCACAATTTTGGGGTCCTGGGAGTACCTAAACTTCTCTTTTCCAGGATTTTTTTTGAATCTGGGAGAGCTCAAACCCCCCTGTTCGTAGGGGTTCAGGAGGCTGACATTTGTCCAAACCCCCTTTTCCTAGTATTTTGAGGGTCTGAGAGTGCCCAAACCCCACTGTTCCCAGGATTCTGATGGAGTCTGGGAGTGTCCAAACCTTCTTTTCCAATATTTTGTGCTCTGGGAGTGCCCCAAACCCCTGCCCCTCAGATTTTTAGGGTCTAGGAGAGCCCATACCCTTGTGTTACCAAGATTTTTGAGGTCCTAATGTTCCCAACCCCCCAGTTCCCTTGTTTTTCAGACACTGATGGTACCCAGACTCCTCTTTTCCAAGACTTGAGGAGCTGGAAGTGCCCAAACCCCCCTGTTCCTGGGATTTTCAGAGCCCCCTCAAAGCCTCAGATAACCAGGACTGCAGAGAACTAAGAAGCTTTACTGGGAACACTGGAAGCAGCCAGCTGGGGTGAGAATAAATGCAGGGAAGGGGGGACACATGACCCCCCCAAACTCAGTGTGGGGATGGACTGGGGGGTCCCAGCTGGACCCGAGGCCACGGGGAGGGGCTGCGGCCGCCGGCGGCTCAGGAGCTCTGTGGGGAGAGAAAAGGGGGTGAGAGCGGGGTGGGGGGAAGGGGGGGCACACAAGCTCTGGAAAACAGGGGGGAAGACAACCCCCGGGGACCTCCCTTTACCTTCTCCCGCAGGTAGAAGCCGAGCCCCAGCGCCAGGAAGACCAAGCCCAAGACGAAGCCCCCGACCCCCACCAGGATCTTGCTGCGGACGGTGTCCGGTGGCATCTCTGGGGAGAGCCGGGGGGGTCAGCACCTCCAAAACCTCCTCCCACACACCACCTGGGACCCCACAGAGCCCGGCCCGCTCTCCCCCAGCCCACCCAGGACTCCCTGAAACCTCCTGCCAGTCCCTTCCCAGCCTTTTGCGATCCCATCAAGCCCTTCCCAGCCCCTTTAGGACCCTCCAACCCCCCTCTTATCAGCCCCAGCACCCACCAAACTCCCTCCCAGGTGCTCCCAGTTCCTCCCTTTCTCCCCCGGCCCCCCTGCCAGTGTGCCCCCGGTGCTGGGGGGGCCGGGCCGTACCCCAGTGCCGGCTGAGGGGGTGCTCCAGGCTGACGTGCTCCACCTGGCAGCTGTAGGTGACCCCGCGCCGGGGGGGGATTTCCAGCAGCACCAGCACCTGGTAGCTCCAGTCCCCGTTGGGGACCACGTTGGTGGAAAACACGTCCTCCAGCACCTCCTGCCCATCCTGGAACCACCTCACCTGCACCGGTGCAGGGTAGAAATCCATCCCGGAGCAGAGCAGGCGGCCGGGGCCGGGCTGGGAGCTCGACAGCACCAGCGAGATGGACACGCTGGGGGGCACTGGGAGGGACAGGAGAGACACTGGGCTGAGCTGGGGGCACTGGGAGGGAGGGCAGAGGGCTTGGAGGGCGTTGGTAGGGATTTGGATGGCACTGGGAGGGACTGGGATGGTAGTGGGAGGGACTGGGAATAGAGCGGGGGAGAAGGGCATGGGCTGGGGGGCACTGGGGAGAGAGTTGGGAGATGTGGGAGTGAAGTGAGAACGACTTGGAATGGACTGAGAGTGTCTGGGAGTGGATTGAGAGGGACTGGGAATGTCTCGTCTGGACTGGGAAGGAAGCGATCGGGACTGGGAGGCTGAGTCGTGGTGAGGGAACTCTTCGTTTTGGGTCTGCCTGGCAACTGGAGCGTCATCAGAGAGACGCGCTGGGATTGGCTGAGGGGCGTGAGCTCGGTGGCCCCAGCGGGGTGGAGACGGGGGGGGGCACTGGGAGAGACTGGGATGGACTGGGATGGACTGGGAGGGGGCAAAATGCCACAGGACGGGCACAGGGAGTGCTGAGGGGTCTGGGGTGATTCTCAGGGAGAGTTTGAAGGGCTCTAGGCAGGGGCCGAGGGGACCCGCTCTGTCCAATGCTCACCTCTCCTCTCCACGCTGAACGAGCTGAACAGCTTGTAGTTGTGCCGGCAGTGCCTGTCCACCCTAGCCCGTATGTACTCCATCCATTCTTGGTTCCGGTTCCCGTACCTGTCCAGGATCTCCCCATACGGGGTGTCCCCCACAAAGACCCCCACATCGCTGTCAAAGTGCATGAACTGCTTCCGGTTGTAGACGAACCTCTGCACAAACCTCACCTGCTCGGTGCCGTTGATGAAGTAACACTCGCACTTTGCCATGTGCTGGAACACCCCTGGGTGTGCAGGACACAGGACAGGGGGTGCCCCGTCCCCACCCATCATCCCTCAGCCCCCCACAGCACGTTGGGAGCTCAGGGGGCCACCCCGAACCCTCCTTTCCCACCCCCCTCTGCCCCACGGACGCCCCAGCACCGGCTCTTGGCTGGGGGGGAACCCCCCCATCAGCCCCCGAGGATGGACAGGGGGATTGAGGGACCCACCTCCAGTGCGGATCCGACCCCCACAGAGCCCCAGGGAACCGATTCAGGGCTCAAGGGACACCCAGGGACCCCCATGGCATCCCTCTGTCTGCTCTCCCACACCCCCTTGCCCCCCTCTCCCACCCCTTTCCCACCGTCCCTCCAATCCCCAGACCCCACCCCCTCCCTCACTTTCGGGTTCCCATCCCTCTCCCACTCACTCTGGGCCTTCCAACCCCCCTCGCACTCACTTTTGGGGCTCCCACCCCCTCTTTTCTCCCCTCTTTCCCCCCCTTTCCCACCCCACCCCCCTGCCCGCCCCCCCCTGCTCACCCGACAGCTCCTCGCCCGCAGCCGGGGGGGCTCCCAGCACCACCAGCACCGCCAGCACGGCCCCAGCTCCCCGCACACGCTCCATGCCCAGCGCCGGACAGCTGCTGACAGCCCCAAACCAGCCGGGCGGCGCCGTTTTGGGGGGTTTGGGGCGCGCTGGGCTTGGCTGAGGGCGCAGTTGGGGCCCTTTTTTCGAGGCGTCTTCCCGGCGACTGATGAGTCATCAGCGCGGCGCGCTGGGATTGGGCGCGGGCGGCGTGGGCGCCTTGGGATTGGCTGAGGGCCGTTGGGGGCCCCCGCGGCAGCCCCGGGGCTGGGGGGTTCGGGGGGGTCCGTGGGCTGCGGGGGAGGGGGGAGCTCAGGGCCCACCAAAAATGCCCAACCAGGG